ATAGCTTGAAACGAGCTTGAAAGCGATAAAAAGCCAGGTAGACATGAGAGATTGCTCAGACGCAAGACGTGTCTTTACCGTTCTCTTATTTCACAGTTAACTTCACAACAACCAACAGAATAAACTTACCAGTTGCAAGAACTGCACAGAAGACAAAGATGCTCAGCACAAGACCCTTCATTCTGCGTATCTCAATGGCTTCACGAACGATGCAGCTTCCTTTGACAAAACCAGCGCCCTCAACAAACACGCCGAGAAATAGAGCGTTTATATGACAGAGCAATAACCAATAAGATTAGTAGTTTTAAATAGTGAGCCAATCAGGACATTCCACATCACGTGCCTTGTTATCGGTATCGAAAGAGGTTGCGACACTGCATAGTAATCTCAGGAATGCGGTAACGAAACCTCGGGTTATTCAAACACGGAAACTTAAGGAATCTTCCAAAAGATATTTTCAAGAAAAAGCTAACAACAATATTATTTCAAAATCTTCAAGTTCAAGATAGTTATATTGACGTAGAACGAATAATCAATGATGTGTCAAAAGTTAAATCCAGTTAATAGTAGTGTATAACTTATTTATTCTTCTATTTACTGTCATGTGTTTCTATTTCTGTATTTTTATCTCATACTGTCATTTCTGCTTTTTAAATTAATGATTTAATATTTAATTTCTGCTTCTTGTATATTTATGGAATCTTTTGTTGAACCGAAATTTATGTAAGATGTTTTAGCGTCCACACACTGCCCCCCGAGACTAGCTATGCTATTTGTGTGTAATGGTTATGTTTAGTTAAGTTAGTTAAGTTAAGTTAAGTTTAGTTAGTTAAGTTATGCAAATGTAATATATTTATTCCCTTATAAAACAATATAAAGCAATAAATACTTGCTGGGAAAGTATGATGAGTCTTATGCTCTTATCGAGATAAACGTGTCGATGCACGGCAGAAACAAAACAGTTGTTTCCGGTGGGAACTATCCTTGAACTTTTCCTGCCACCAAATAAGGTTGGTGTACACATTGCCTGTTGACTGATGATTTGTCACAGATAACCGATGATAACTCATGGGCTTTCAAAATCTCGTCAGTGATAACACCCATTACATTGAGAATTTACCTTCTGGCGTTTTCCGAGACAAAGCCCGTCAACAATTCTGTATGTATGAGCCAATCAGAACTGAGTTCGCCTTTATAGCAGGAAACTGTCACGTGCTCTGCACTTTTCTTCTGGTGTTTCGCTCGAAAGAGACACGAGTGATTTTTGCAGCCGTTTCGTATTTCATCATGTTTTTGCTGATGTTTAAGGATTATCTCTTAATGCCGAAAGATTTTATGTATGTCAGCGTCAGATTTGGCATTGAATCGATGGGACTACTTCGATACCTAGGCTTAAAAAGATATCGATTGTCATTTATCAGCGTGGAGACGAAATAAAACATGAATACACTTAAACAATTAATTTCACGTCATGGGTCAAAACATGTCTCTATAATCAGTAAAATTCACAGGAATACACACAAGATTTTGCATGTGAGTAGCCACACGGACTGGCAGTAGAACAATCATCTGGCCAGTACTTCTCTACACATTTCGCTCTGACTCGTTTCAATCTTCTGTCATGATGATTAAGTAAAATTGTCCAAATGCGCTGTGGTACAAAAAAACGACAAAAAGACACGTGACATAGCTCAAGCTCAGTGTAACAGACTGTGGATGGCGTACCATCCCCGAACTTGTTCATTTTAACTCTAAAGTTCTTCACGACTCCTTTACCCACCGTGCTAGTATAGCCTGGAACTGTTTACCAACCCAGCTAAAAGCTGTTTAAGGGGCCGACCATTTAACTTTTGAGGGGGGGGGGGCTGATTTCTGGTCATCAAGAAATTTGTTTCTAGCAATCTGCTGTGCAGGATATTTTCCTCCGTTCTAAATGCCCTTTTTTTCTGTTACATTTGGGCTGCATGCAATTTTCTTCTTCCAACAAGCACTTGCAGGAAATGTTTTTCAAAATCTCCTACCCCTCCCCCCCTCATGAGTTAAATGGGCGGCCCCTAAGCTTAAACTCATCTAAGAAATTTCACAAGTCTATAGAAGTAATTTAATTTGACTCTAACCCAACAGCAACGAACAACAACGTCGATACTTTTACATACTTTTAACAATAAATAGTTTATTCTAGTCAATTAGTAAAATACTTTTTCCACTTACTTTTGCATGTATTTATATGATATTTAATACTGTTAGAGCAGGTCCACATCAGCATTCGCTGCCATTAACTAACCTGCTTTACCAGTTAGCCCAATGGATAGTGCGGTGGACTGTTATGCGGGAGGTCGAGGGTTCGAGCCCCGGTCGGATCAACCCTCAAGGTCTCAAAATAATCGAGAAGAATTTGCTACTTTCTATAACGTCAATGGTTAGATATTCTAGTCTTCTAAAACCATACTCCCCGAGCGTAACGGCTCCTCGAACAGAGCACTCATCTTGAATCACCTTCCAATATTACCATGAGATTATGAACTGCAGTTCATAATCTCATGGCAATCTCATCGTGCATGCTCGTGAACGAGTTAAGAAAAAAAGTTATAATGAGAATTCGGGAAACTCATTACAGATTTTGCAAAAAGGTGCAAAAAAATAACATATTTGGGTCTGGATTATAAACTGTGTAGCTTATTCATACCCAGAATTTCGAGGAGCACTTCTCCCTGGAGTGTAGCTAATCAAACCTTATCCTGTCTATAGTCCCCCTACCCTCCAGAAAAATCAGGAAAAGGCCCTAAATGATTAATTTTTTGATCCGGGGAAAGGGGCGACTGTGCACAAGTTGGTCAAATCGTAGAGCCGTCAGCCGTTTGGCTGGCTTAATTTATAGAGGGTAGCACTTAATAGCTAGAAGTTAATGAACTTGTGGCCCTCAAAACACCCACCCATCCCACCCTTGGGGAGGACATCCACCACACAGTAATCTCGTGCGTGGGAAATTAACGTCTCCTACCCCTAACCCTGCAGGAGAAGGGGCCTACGGTTTATTCAGTGATATAGGGCGCTATCTCAGAAGAACAAAGCACGATATTCGACGATAATCGTTCGCATTACTTTTGCCGAGTACTGTTTAAGAAAGGTGGAACGTTCGGTGGAGCAATAGCGAAGTAGAAACTCTGCTACCGGAGATGTAGTAGACTTGCCTTGTTGATGAAATTGCTGTAACCATATCCAACTACATGTTTTAGTTCATTATCGGCTGAGATTTCAGGTCTGATTTTTGCTATTGCATAAATAGCGCTATCTACTGCGAGGATCGCACATCATACGTAATAGTAATCAAAGTTTAATGTCTTGACGTGGGGCATGGTTACCCATATTGCCCGAGCCAGAGGCTCGTGTATGAAACGCAAGACAACAACCCACTCATACCACCCCAGGGGAGGAAATCCATCACACAGGAATCTCGTGCGTGGGAAATTAACGTCTCCTAGCCATAACCCTACAGAAGACGGGGCCTACGGTTTATTCGTACGTATCCGAGAAGACTAGAATATCTATCCATTTCTTGATATTATAGAAAGGTAGCAAATTCTCCTCAGTTATTTTAAGAGCATGAGTTTTGGTCCGGCCGGGGCTCCAACCCTCGAGCTCCCGCACAACACAAACCTGCGCTCTAACCAATTGAGCAAACCGGGAAGCGGTTTGTTTCTAACCAAGATTGTAAATGTTCAGTGAAAAATATTAAGAACGCATCGAAATTTCTTTCAACTTCATCCGCCTAGTTTAAACTCCACAAGTTCAAGTAAAAATTTAAAAGCTTTACATACTCTGCGTCAAGTCAATTTAAAATGTCACACTTTCATGCACTAACGCTCGTTAGGCCCATTTTTAAGTCCAACGGATTATCAAAAACAGCAGTAGTATGTAAATTGATATAATTTTTGAAAATGGAGAAAGATGCTTTTCGTATTGTCACGAGCGTGGGACAAAGAAAAGTACAGGCCGGAATATAAAATTATGAGCTTTGTCGGGTGTTACGAAAACGAAGACCTAAGACCTAAGACCCGGTCTTCGTTTTCGTAGTACGAAAACGAAGTAGGAAAACGAAAACCCTGGAAACCGAAAACCGTAGAAATTACAACTTAAACACACATCAAACAGCAACAACGCTTAGTAATATAATACATTACACTTCACGCGTTTCTTCCCACTATTATCCGTATTATTATACGACCCGTCTTGTCTGTTCTGTTTCGCTATGCGAGCCAATTTGGTGTTGATATKGTCTCGAGGGTTTCCTCGGGTAAACTTAAAGCACATATTATTATTCTGGAACAGCAGGCAGAATTCGAATGCTAGCCGCCTTTGATTCATAGTTAGCATTGCGTAACAGGATAACAGAGAACGCGTTCTGTACAGGAAAAATGACTCTTGGGTTCTGTCAATAAAATTATCAATTTCTACTGTATTTCAGAGCTAAAATAGATTCTGACGGTCGTTCAGCTTTCTCTGCTGGAAAATTCTCGTTAAAAAGTAAGCAATTCTTTTGGCTAAAGTAGGGTCTTCGTTTTCGTAGTACGAAAACGAAGACCGGGTCTTAGGTCTTCGTTTTCGTAACACCCGAATTCTGCCTGCTGTTCCAGATTAATAATATGTGTAGTAAGTTTACCCGAGGAGACCCTCGAGAATATCAACACCAAAATTGGCTCGCATAGCGAAACAGAACACTGACAGGACGGGCCGTATAATAATACGGGCAGTATAATAATGATGCGGGCAGTATAAGTATAGATTATCGCATGGGGCCGAGTAAAATTAAGGATTAATATCACGCGTGTTTTCGGTAGTTGCTGAAATTACCCGAAATAACACAAGTGATATTAATCCTTAATTTTACGAGGAACCATGTGATTACTTGTTTATAATATAAGGGGAAAAATGTTTTCTTAAGGCTGGTTTTCACTTGCGACGGAGTCGTAGTCGGAGTNTCAACTTACACAGAACTGAGTTATCAAGAGAGTTTTTTAATGACAGCTGACTTGATTACATCAGAGTTATACCATACAAGGTCAAAGCACATAATGATTTTCTTCGCAATAAAAGCTTTACAGCCCTCTAAGCTGCTACCGTTTTGGTCCTCATGGTGAGCAGAAAAAACTTTTGGCGACTGAATCTGGCAGTCATGTAGCCATCTAAAACGCTTTTATTGCAGAGCGTTTATGTTTTAAAGTTAAAGTGGAATAAACAGTTGCATAAAATGGGATGAAACATTTGAAAAAATATCCTTTGTTTCGTCTTTCTTCGCAACTAAAAATTTTCTTTCTCACAATATCATTTTGGGTCTTCATGATTTAAGGTGGTGAAATGGTGACTCTGAAAGAAGTTGAGCTTGAGACCCTTGTAATTGAACCTTTACGAAATTGGTAACAACCACGGGTTCAGCTTTTTGAAAAATGAGGCAATCAAACATCTTCTCAACATAGATATGCAAAGAACACCAATGTACATGTTCAGTTCCCCAAGTTACCCTCTGGCTAGGTAACACCTGAGTTACTTTTCCTTGTCTCTTGGTTGAAACTGTAGTGATACACTATTGATACAGTATCGCAACCCAGTGGGTGGAGGACCATCTGGAAATACGTGACCCAGATGAGAATCACACTAAGAAAAGAATTAAGAATGACACAATATTGTAAGTTGTAATTTCCTCTACAATTCAACTGCGAACTCCCCATTTAGTGGATCGTTTCATTTCTTTTTGGACATATTTCCAACATGATCATGTTTACATGCCTCCCAGTTAGCCCAATGGATAGAGCGCTGGACTGTTGTGCGGGAGGTTGAGGGTTCGAGCCCCGGCCGGACCAACACTCAAGGTCTTACAATAAAAATGAGGAGAATATGCTACCTTTCTCTAACATCAAGAAATAGTTGGATATTCTAATCTTCTTGGATAAGGGCGAATCAATGGAGGTCCCGTCTCCTGCAGGGTTAGGGGTTGGAGACATTAATTCCCCACGCACGAGATTACTGCGTGATGGATGTCCTCCCCTGGGGTGGGATGGGTGGGTTTACTGGGCCTGCAGTAATTGGCACAAGCTGTTGCGGTGTCCCTGCCTGTCGGCGAATCTAATAAACTAATTCTCAATCAGGCTGCAAGTTACTGGGTTCAAGGTGGTAATTCTTTATGTAAAAATATAAACTGCTCTATTTCAATTATTTTGGGAAAAAACTCACCTCTCGACAAAGTACTTCAACTCTAACCATTCCATGGCTGTAATCATGCTTTTCAACTACTGAGAGCTGAGGTGCTGCTGCAACACAAGAATTTACTTCCATTGCAGAATGGAATGAGGGCCAACCTGTGCCAGAATCAAACTTTGTGGATGAGCTGGAATTGCATAACAAAATATTCCCACTGGTGAGCATGCGCGCAAACACCAATGCATAAGGTATTAGGGGTATTATATTTCCAAACAAAACTAGCTTTGGAAAGAAGTAAAAGTTTATTGTTGACAATCTTCACCCTTAAACATTAACGGTCAATTGAAGGTGGATATGAAATTGTACAAGTTTGACCACTCCAATCAGTAAGCAAATAACAGAAAAAGGCTGTGGTGTGCAGCAGACAATAAAGGAAATTTACAAAAACAGCAAGGACTGAAATGTGCTAATTATTGAGGATCAACCAACCATAACAATACATCCAAAGGTGACTGATAACTGGTCATCTTGCTCCTTATATTCATTCAACTGCATTCAATTAAATGATTTATAGAAGTGAGGGACCAATCATGATTGTTAAAAGAAAAGAAGTTCTTACCTAAACAGATCACTGCCACAACAAACACACTTGTAAATTCCCTTTCCTTTGAAATCAACAAACTGACCAGACCATGGCTGCAAAAAAAAAAAATGTAAGTAACATTTATTTAAGTGTCAAGATTCATTCTAGTGCAAGACCAACACTTACTGAGGACCACATGCAACAAAAAAATTCTCAGGGAAGTGGAAATATTTAGTTATTTCAGAATTCCCAAATTCTAGCATGTACTAAAGAAAATCAAAAATAATTATGGAAATACTTTCAACAAAAATCATCTAGTTTTGCAAGGTCATATAAACAGGTTTTTAAATAAAAAACACCCTTAATTTTACATAACGCCTGTCTTACTGGTTCTGTTCCTTTTTGTCGGCAGACCACAAATTGCTCAGGAGTAAGTTTTACTTTCCAGTCAGTGTCATGCATCTTTCGCATGGAAACTGAAAAGTGAAATTAAAATGTAATCATCAGTAATATTTTGTTAATTAAGATACTTACATTATACTGTAGCCAGGAAAGGGAATGTGGATGTGGTATGTGGTAAGAACATCAGTGACACACTCAGCTGCAACTTGTGTACCACTTTTTTTGTTCTTATCACACTTTGACATCATCTGTGATCTATTACTGAACGGATGCACGGTAACATGGAATCTAATTGTTTTCTCATTTTTAGTCAGTATCTAAACATGTAAATCCAATGATGGCTTTAAAAAATTTTTACCTTTGGTCAAAAGAAGCCTGGTTCACACTTGGTGGGGGTGGGTGTGGTAGGTGAGGGAGGGGGACAGCATTATGTTGTAGCCCCTTATCATCTGGTCTTGCTCTTTGTTAATATTGGTCTTCACTCACTGAGTCTCAATCTTCCAACACCACATTTTCAAAACAATTTTCTTAAAACTAAGGCCTCTGGGACTGAATCAACGAGGAAATAAGGGGACATGGCTGTTTTATCATAACAGAATTAGTAATTTTGGTTTCAAAATGGAACACAAATTTTAAACATCTTACATATTTGCCAGGCTTTTTTTCCTTCCTCCTTCTTTTTTTTCTAATCACCCTGGGATATTATTGGGGGAGATGACAAAACACAGAGCCCTACTCCATGGAGTACCTAATAACCTCACAAGATGAATGCATCTCCAATACAACTTCCAGAGATAAAACAAACTACATTCATTTCATATCAAACTGGATGCCACTGGTTCAGCCACCTATTGCCCTTGAGAGCTACTTGGAAAATGTCATAACACAACCTGCAGAGATTACCGTATCTAAGCCAGAAAAGACTTTGTAACCCATTGAGGTAACAGCTCCAAAAGAGTTAAAAAATAACTTTGCTTTCAACCTTACAAAAGCGACACAACAACAATCATCATGAATATTACAGAAAAAACTAAAGACACCAAACTGCAACTCCACCACAGATTCACTTCAAACCTCTCAAAGAACTGATAGGGTTCATGACATCATTGAACAAATGCGTAAGGGCTAACACATCGATGGCATGACTAAGAAATGACTTTCACAAACTCCCAATCCACCTACTAGATACACAAAGAGCCCTTGCAGAAAGCAGTTTCCATAAATCATCTGATCATCTTTCAGAACAGAAAATGGGGAAAGTCCTTATACAACACACTTGTGAGGGCAAAAATTACAATTTGAAGGCAATAATGAGACACAACTACAAAAGCCACATGGGGAGTCCGTGCTGGTCTTTTATTCTCTTATTTGAACAATACATGATTTTTAGAGGTACTCCAATTTACGTACATCATAGCATACTCTATGCAGTAGGGCTCCGCATTTTGTCACTTCCTAATAATTTCACTCTCTAATGGGAGATGACACAATGTGGAGCACTACATCAAGGAGTACCCTATTGAGTACCTAAAATGGAGTACCCTAAAACTCATGTACAGTAGAACATTGATTTGATGAACCTCTATATAACAAAGTCCTTTTACAGCCCAACTAAAGTTACAGTAAAATGTTTGCCACAGAACCTCAATATGACAAACCCTTGATATGACAAACCAATTTCTCCAGTCCCTTTGCACTTCATTAACCCTTTCCAGCCCAAGGGTGCCACATGCTGGGAAACCCCCTCCTGTCCGAGGGAAATTGACCTCACTAAGCCAAAATAACATCATTCCACATTTTATTTCATATCTTGTAAACTAAGAATTTAGAGCAAAAACATTATAGAAAAACATTGCTCTGAAGATGATAGGCTTTCTAATGGTATAAAAATCTCAACCTTTCAGGAAAATGCTGTTGAACTACACAGCTGCAAATTGGAGCAAAACAAAAACTTGCATGTTGACTCCATGTTGTCTTATGATAAGCAACTACATAAGCAAGAAACTACTTAATTCCACTTATCATGCTCATTCTACTATACAAGCGAGCAAAACTAAGGACTAAATGCATGTAGCATGTTATGTTTAAGATTTTCAAAGGCAAAAATTTCTTTAATGACAAAAATTAGCAAAGTGCAATTTCAAATCTCGCGGCACTGTTCAAGCGAGATCCTCTGCGGTATGATTTCGAAAGCAGTCTAAGCAAATGCGTTTGCCGCAAAGTTCGCAAGCCATTCGACACCAAGTAGTTTTCTTCTGCTTTAGGCAACGCTTGCAGCGGCCTTTGGTGTAGGAAATCGGCCAGTGCCCTCCTTCAATTCGCCCAGAACTCACTGACAATCTTCGTGACGAAAAGTCACCGATCAAATCTCGGACCAATTCCAGCCGAAAAGCGAGCTGAGTTCTGTTTCTGTGA